GGGTGGTGTCCCTTAGCTCCAGCTATGAGGAAACTGTCGTGTGCAGAATTTTGATTCGGCAATAGTGGACTTTATTGCTTTTTAAAGAAAATCCCAGGGGCGCCTGGGTGTCTTAGTCGGTTAAGTGTCCAACTTTCGCTTAGGTCATGATCTCGCGGTTTGTGGGTTCGAGCCCCGCGTCGGGCTCAGTGCTGACTGCCAGCTCAGAGCCTGGAGCCTATTTCAGAGTCTGTGTCTCCCTCTCTCTCTGACCCTCCCCTGCTCACGCTGTCTCTCTCTCTCTCTCCTAGAAATAAATAAAAATATTTAAAAAAAATAAAATCCCATAATCAGAGATTTATGAGACATCTCCCAATTTTCCAATGTTGACAACTCATTCAAAAACTGAAAAAAAGCCCAAAACATTATGAGCCAAGGAAACATAATTATGGGCTCATTTGTTCAGAGGCCCCCCCCCCCAATTTATAACCTCTGAATAGAAAGGAGTCATTTTCAAATTTGCTATATCCTTTTTTTTTTAAGGTGAAAAATGTTTGAACTTATATATTAAAAAAAACAACTTCACAGGGAAGTTTAAGAGTAATATAATGAACTCCAATCTCCCCTTCATCTGGATCCAGTCTTACTCATCTTGAGAGCTCTGGATTCCGGTGTACAGAAGGCACTGAAATGTGGAGTTACTAAATGAGTGCCCTAAGGAAGAATAAGCAAAACGTGGTTTGCCAAGTTCCTGTAAGTTAAAATCACAGCTGGAGAATGAATACTGAGAAATGGCAAGAGGGAAGAAAGGAATCCGATTCAAGGATGGGTGCAAAGAAGGAAGGATGACAGAACAGAGAGGTGACACGCACCGCACGTTTATTTTGCCCGCCGAATGCTTGCTTTATTGTATTTCATTTCAGTTTTGGCTTGGCTTATTTTGAGTAGCACAAGAAAGAGACAAATCGCCAGGAGCCCAGGTGAATGCCACACCAGAAGAGATCAGGCACATGGACAGTATACTTCCAACAAAACCTTACTAATTCACTCATTGCCCGTTTCGCAGTTTGAGATTATTTAGACAAGCCAGGCTAAATTTCATCTTGGCATTATTAATTCTATGAGAAAGTGTACTCAGCAAATGAACAGTATAGGCGGGGGAAATGTTGAATATTTGCTCTAGGGAGAGCAAAAGCAAATGAATAGCCTTAAAATCCTTTCTAATTATGTTGATGTGCTGAACTTTTGTCTAATTATTATGTTCCTTGAAAAGTGAGTAGAAATTTTTCCCCCTAAACCATATTTTAAAAGTGCTGGGGGAAATGTGACTTTAACATAAAGGTGAACACTTCAGGGGCGAAAGGCTGGGAGCGCCTGGGTGGCTCAGTCAGTTGAGTGTCAGACTTTGGCTCAGGTCATGATCTCATGGTTTGTGGGTTCGAGCCGCACATCCGGCTCTGTACTGACAGCTAGCTTAGAGCCTGGAGGCTGTTTCAGATTCTGTGTCTCCCTCTCTCTGCCCCTTCCCCACTTGTGCTCTGTCTCTGTCTCTAAAAAATAAAAAAAGGTTTTAAAAAGTTAATATATATCAGGGGCAGAAGACTCACACACTGCCAGTTTACATTCAGGTAAATAAAAAATGGGACACGTCAGCTTTTCCATTAAGTAAACAGTGAGCTAATTACAAAGAGTATTATTTGCTAGAGAGCTTCATTGGATTCCCTCCTCCCTCTTCTGCCAGCTGAAGTCTGCCCATTTGCAGCTAATGACAGCATTAGCTGCCATGAGGAGAGCTTTTTATATGCCAGACTTGGTGTTAAGTGTGCTAACGTGTAGTCTTGTTGAATTCACCAGTGGGTTAGCAAACAAAACAAAGTAAGCCTTATCATCAGCTTGATTTTATTGGCAGGGAAACTGAGGCCCAGGGGAGTGAGGATACACAGCTAAGATTTGAATCCACAGACACACGGCCCCCGAAATACATCAGTATTACATCATGCTACATCGCAGAGCCAGATAAACCCTGCCCAAAGTCAAAACCAATGGGCCAAGAAAAATGTTGTGAAAAACCACGGTGATTTGGACACGCAGAATGAACCACACTACAATCCAGTTTGGGGACACTTGGTAGATATTTAAGCTTTTGTAAGTTTAGGAAGTAAACATCCTTTTGAGAAGGCCGACCTAGTTGGCTAGAATTACAATTCATCACGGTGCATTTCACTTTACCCAATAGATTTGTGCCTACAGAATTGTTGGGTAAATCAAAGTTTTAAAAATTGTAGTGGAAAAGGGGATCCTTTGAATGCAAAATCGAATCTTAGGGCAAATGCTTTCTTAAAAGACAACAAGCTTTTCGTTTTTGTGACCCATCTGAAAATTAACAGGTTTCTCCATTAGGCCATGATAATGCTCCGGCAGTGCTGACATGATAACAGACTGAAGACGTGGACTTCTTGAAAATGGTCTATAGTGATGGTTCCCAAACTATCTTCCACAGACCCTAGGAAGAAGCGAGGTCCTCAAGGACAAAACTATTCTCATCATAATTCTAAGTTTTTTTTTTTTACTGTGTCAGTATTTGCACTGATGATGTGAAAGCAGCAGTAGGTAAAACTGCATGTGGCCTGAGTTTCTACAAGGCAGTGGCACCAAACTGTGCTGATCGCTATTACATTCTTTACTACTACATACCCAAGTTAAGACAAAACAAAAATCATTTTCACCTAAGAATATCCTTATAAAATAGTAAAAAGTAATATTGTTACATTTCATTCCTTGAGTACACACCTTTTTGATATTGTGTGTGACAAAATGGGATGTGCACATCAAGCACTTCGGCTACAAGCCAAAGTACAAAGCTGATCCCAGAAAGCATTCACATGCTTGTTTTTGAGTTACCAGCTGAACTAGCCACACACTCTACTGAATGCCATTCGTACTTAAATGAACAACAATCAATATTCAAGCCTTTCTCAAATATATAAACAAAAAATGTGTCTGTCCCAAATACCTAACTGACAGTGTTGGTTGCCCAAATGAAAACTTGTTTCTTACTACCTTGAGTTTAACAGCTTATATAGCAGTTATATTAACAAATGTGAGTTTTTTGACATTGTAATATTGTATTCCACTTGATATTAATAATGGAATTTTAAATGTCAACATATGGAAGATCTGTACACCTCAGTAAACCAACGTTTCCCAAATGACAAATGTTTCGTGTAATAAAATCATACATGGGTAAAATATCCAACCAAAGGGCAAGATAAACCAACGGATTTTAATGTAACAGAGTATAAAATTTCACAGCTAGGGTTTCAGATGCCACACTGTACATAACCTTTAAGAAATTACCACTTGCTAAGTCTTGGTGTAGCGTCAAAAAGAATGTTATTTGAGAAGGCAATTAAAATAGTCCCTGCTCCAACTATACATCTGTGTGAGGCCAGACTTTGCCCACATACATCAGCCAGAAAACACAAGTTTGGTTCCCGAAGGAGAAATGAGAGTCTAGCTATTTTCTATCAAGCCAGACACTGAAGAGATTTAAGAAAATGTAAAATAATGCCACTACTACTTTTCTAGTAATTTGGCGGTGGGGACAAAGCTATTTTTCATTAAAATTATTATTTATATTCAGAAGTAACGGGTACATTGTTATTTTTAAATAAGTGGATAAAGGAATGTTTAAGATTTTCCCAGTGTTAACTTCTGATATGATAAATATCACAGGTATATATAAACAAAGCTCTTTTGAGGTTAGAGCATAAAAGAGTCCTGAGACCAAAAAAATTTGAGAACTGTTGTTCCGTAGAAACATTACATTGATCCGTCCACAAGGCAAACTGCAAATGACATTTTATAGTACCTCTGAAGTACAAAGGGCAAAGACGTCTTTTAAGCACACATAGGGTTATTTAATTTAAAAAAAAAAAATCCCACACTGCATTAAGTGGATATCACAAACGAACAAATCTCCCTTAGTGGTGAAATGAGTAAACTGATCTGGATTCTAGCACAGACCCTAGTCCTCCTATCTTCAAAATGAGATCAGAGTGGCCTATTTTTAGATTGCTTCCTACGGTCGATTCTTCTATTCTAATCAGGGACCTCTAAACAGTGGCCCACAGGCTGTATCTGGCCTTCAGACTGATTGGCTGTCCCGGTATTTAGAGAAGTGCCCGAGGAAAATAATAGGTTAGAGCTGAGTGAGACGCTTTCCTTTCAAAGGGCGAATTGATTTTCAGTCGCAGCCCAATCCGGCCCACCAGACTTGTCCCTGCAGAGATCTGCAATTTGCAGCTTCTGGAATGAAGGGCCTCTGAAACCCGTTTCAAATCTCACTCCATAATTTAGTTCCAGAGGCAGAGTGCCTGGGTTTCTTACTCACCCAGTCACTTGCGGGCTGTTCGGTTTGGGGCAAGTTAACTTCTTTGAGCCTCGACTGTTTCATTTGCAAAATAGGAGAGCACCACTGACCTCAAAGGGCTGTTCTGAAGCTTAACGAGGGTATTGCTTGAGAGCACTTACAGAATTTCTGGCACTGGACAGTACTCATTCTTCACATCAAAGCTCATAAAGATAATATGCCCTAGTCTTCCCCCACCCACCTTACCAACTCCCTTTTCCCAGTAGCGGACGACCGCACTCCCAATGGTGACGCTTGCTCCCGTACCAACTCCCAGATTTCACGGTTCCACATCCGAAGAAGACACACGGGACCTCTCCGCCCTCAGACTTCTACTTCCCTTTTCCACTCTAAGCCTCTTCTGACCCCTGGCCTGTTCCGGGCTCCTACACGACCACAGCTCTGCACCTTGACCAGACCACTGACCACTCCCCCCAGCCTCTTCTTGTCATCCCGGATCACTAAGGCTCCCTTTCCCTCAGACCGGAGGCCACCCTGGGTCAGGCAGTGCTGGTCCAGGCCTCTCTGGCCTAGGGTTCTGTCCGAGGGAGCCTCTGGAGAGATGAAAGAATAACTGCCCGACCGCCCGGAGGGGCCCACGGACACTCACCGTCCATCCCTAGAGGCGGCGGTTCCGGGTGCTCGAACCGGAAGCGGCCCCTACACTGTTTGCAGTTCCCCTGGTTACTGTGGGGTTCCGGACCAATGGCGATGGAGATCCAGGGACTGAGCCCGCCCCCAAAGGGAGTGACGTCACATCGGCGCGCAGGAACTCCTCCTCCGATCTCTGAGTCCCACCCGCCTCTCAGGGCTGCCGAAGGTTGTGCGCAGGCGCGCCGGAGGGCTCTTCGCGTCCTGGTGCGCAGGCGCCGGGGGAGCTGCCCACCGAAGTAGCAATGGACGCGCTCGAGTCGTTGTTGGACGAGGTGGCCCTCGAGGGGCTTGATGGCCTGTGTCTGCCTGCGCTGTGGAGCCGTCTGGAGACGCGAGTGCCGCCCTTCCCCCTGCCTTTGGAGCCTTACACGCAGGAGTTTCTGTGGAGGGCCCTTGCCACGCACCCGGGCATCAGCTTTTATGAAGAGCCTCGGGAGCGACCCGACCTCCAGCTCCAGGACCGGTCAGCGGCCTGGTCCTGCGGCGGGCGGGCGAGAGGGCGGGCGCGGAGCCCGGCGTCCGATGGCGCTGGGAGGGGCCCAGGTTCTGACGGGGGATGGGGCAGAGATAGGAGTGGAGCCCGGGGAGGATCACGAGTCTGGTGGGGGGCTCGGTATAAGGCTGACGAGGGGTTCCTCGGGCCTGGTAGAGCCTGGGCGTTCGATGGAGCCGAGGGTTATCGCATGATGCCCCATTATGTCCGTGTGGGTGTTGGGGTGGTGGTGAGCAGGACTGGGGGGTGGGGGGAGGGTATTCTTCAAGTTTCAAAGAGTACTCCTCTTCCGTAGTGGTTAGGAGGTGAGTTCAGATCAAGATTGAAGCCCGAGGAGATCAACCACCCTTTCTGGGGCATTCTCAGTGCTCAACTACGGAACCTAAGGCAATTAGACACTTGCCTAACAGCGAGCTTAGCAATAATAATAATAATAATAATAATAATAACGATGGCTAGCATTTATGGAGTGCTTATTTTTGGCCTAGTACTCTGCCATAAGATCCTGGGGTGGGGGGGTGGGTAGGGCCTTCAGGCCACTGAACTCACTTTATCCTCAGCAGTGGGTCCTGTTATCATCCCCATTTTGCAGAGGAGGAAACTGAGTTTTAGATTAAGTGGCCTGTTCAATAGTCCCAGAGATTATAAGTGACCCGGGTGTTGATTTGAACCCAGGCCATCCGTGTCTAAAGTCTGTGCTCTAAAGGCATACCGTGAGAAGTTTCCGGGGGTAATACTGTCCAAAAGAGGACTTAAAGATTGGATTTCGGTGGGGCCACTTGGACAGGGAACAGCAAACATGAAGCCTGAAGGAGGAGAAATAAGTCAAGTTTGGTTGAAGTGTAGGATCGGAGGTGGGGAATGAGGAGTAATAGTTGGCACTTACACACATGCTTGTTGTGAACCGGGACGGTTCTAAAATCCTGACATATAGCGAGTTGTTTAATTATTACCAAAGCCTCAGAAGAGAAAACTGAGGCACAGAGAATTTAAGTGGCTTCTTCAGGATCATCACCTAGCTAGAACAGAACCCCCAGTTTGAATCCACACAGTCTGGGGTACAGAATCTACTCTGCCCCTAACTCAGTGGGACTGCAGAGGTAATCAGGTGGTCTTTTAATCCACTTAAAGAGTTTATCCTTTATCTAAAGGGTAGTTGGAAGCCACTGAAAGGAGAGTCAGACTAGGGACAAAGTGTGAGGTGGAGAGATTTTAGTAATCCAGTCACAAATGACAGTTGTGGTTTTGCTTACCATGGAAACAAGAATCAAGAGAGTTTGGTGACTGGATGTGGAGTATAAGGAATCAGGGGTGATGCCTCTGGTTTCTGCTCTTTGGGCACCTGGGTGAGTATTGATGCCATGCACCGTTGGTAGGGGACACAGAAGGACAGCACGGTGGTTGAGTCTCGGGGGACGGTGGGGGGGGTGGGGAAGGGAAGATGCTGAATGTGCTTTGAGACACATGGAGTTTGAGGTTCCTTTGGGTGACCCTAGTGGAGATTCTGTTTAGCAAATATGTGGCTTCATGGGCACGAAAGCGGGCCAGGGAGAGGGATGGCACTGGACACATGGAGTCATCCCATATGGTTGGATATTAGAGTTATAGGCCAGGATCATCCCCGGAAGAGAGTGCAGTGTGACTGGAGGCCCCAGACATGGGCCTGAGGTGCATCTATGTGGAAAGGCTGGATGGAGGACTAGGAACTTTCATTTTTTTTAACCCAGATTCTTTTTTTTTTATGTTTTATTTTTATTTCTGAGAGAGAGAGAGAGAGAGATTCAGCGCGAACAGGGGAGGGTCAGAGAGAGAGGGAGACACATGATCTGAAACAGGCTCCAGGCTCTGAGCTAGCTGTCAGCACAGAGCCTGACAAGGGGCTCGAACCCACGAACCGTGAGATCATGACCTGAGCCGAAGTCGGACACTTAACCGACTGAGCCACCCAGGCGTCCCCAGGAACCTTCAAAGAAGCCTGGGAAGGCGTGGCTGGAAAGGTGAAGGATAGCCATTGAGAGCGGTGTCCTAGCAGATGGCAGAAGATGGGACTGGGGGTTGGAGGGTCAAGCAGTGTGGAGATGACACAGGAGGCAAAGAAGGAAAGGGCCAATAAGCGTAAGTGGGATTTAGCCTCCACTAGACTAGAGCAGGATGCGAGTGAGCTTTGTAAGGAAAGCTTAGCAAAGTTGGCTGCCTGGATAAAGGAAGAAACCCAAGTCAAGGATGTCTCCATGGCATTGACATGACGCAACGGGGAGGGAGTGGAAAGGAGAGAATTTATTGGCGGCAGGGAGAGGCAGTTATAACCTTGCCTTTGATCTTGAATCTTTTTTGAGGTGTTTGGTAGACAAGCGAATATACAGGATTGGTATATGGAGAAAAAAGACAGGACTGAGGACCCCAAGGTGAAAATTGTTAACATACAGGCGCCAGATTTGAAGGGAAACCAAAAGGCCACAACTTGGGCCACTAAGATGGTTCTGGTTCCAGCATTTGGCTTCTTAGGGTGGATTTGGGGGACCCTGGGAGAGAAAGGCAGGAATGCTGCTCTAATCTGCACTTGCAAGGAAGACTGAGCGAGCACATTCTCTCTCTGTCTGGTCTCAGCAGGAGGTTGTCAGAAGAATGTGGCCAAGTATGTACTATTTCCGGAGCTGAGCTGTGGCTTGGTATTTGTGCTTTCCCTCTTTCAGATATGAAGAGATTGACTTGGAAACCGGAATTCTGGAGTCCCGGAGGGACCCTGTCGCTCTGGAGGATGTCTACCCCATTCATATGATCTTAGAGAATAAAGATGGCATCCAGGGCTCTTGCCGGTACTTTAAGGAGAGGAAAAACATCACCAACGACATCAGGACCAAGTCTTTACAGCCCCGCTGTTTGATGGTGGAAGCCTTTGGCAGGTAACTGACTTGCACCATCAGAAACTCATCATGTTCTTTTCTTTCTTTTTTTTTTTTTTAATGTTTATTTATTTTTGAGAGGGAGGGGCAGAGAGAGAGGGAGACCAGATCCAAAGCAGGCTGTGTGCTGACAGCAGTCAGCCCAATGCGGGGCTCAAACTCACAAACCGCAAGATGGTGACCTGAGCCGAAGTCGGATGCTTACCCAGCCAAGCCACCCAGGAGCCCCTTCTCCATCATTTCCAACTTCTGCCTTTCTGCCGGCGCTGGGTCCTCAGCCCAGATATGACTCCTCGCCTACAACAGGACCTTCTGACCTGGGATCCCCTGTGACTGTATATATCTCTCTCTGCCACTTGGCAGGACCGTGCTTCCCGGGAGAAATAGCCACACTCGCTCATTCTCCCCTTCACCTCTGCCCACTCAGCCCTGATGGCTGACTTCAGTACTTCACCGAATCTTATCCCCTAAGATTCCTAGTAACGAGCCTATGGACGCCGTAGGGCCCTTGATCTCCTCGATCCCTCCACCCCATCAGGGACTTTTAAAGCTTTTGGCCCGTGGCTTTCTGCTTTGTTTTGCTGTTCTAGCCAATCCTCACCAGCTCTCCCATGGACCCCCCCCCCCCACTTCCTTCCACCCCTTAAATGTTGGGCTGCTCCCAAGGACCCTGTGTGTTCCCCAGGCCTCTCCCAAGTGCCGTGCGTGGAGTTACGGTCCCCTCTTCCTCGGTGCGTCCAGAAGTCAGCGCATCACTCTCCGTCACCCCAGACCTCCCTCCTCTTCCTTTTCTTGCCTCTTTTGTGTCTTCCCTCTGCTCCACGATTCCCTCGTGCCTGTGTATAAGACGCAAACTTGAGACTCCTCCTAGGCTCCTTCTCCCTTTACTTCTACGTTCAGCTGGCCCGAACCTGCAGACTTGACCTTCTCACTTTTTCTCAAATACCCTTTGGGCTCAAAATAGTACAATAGCCTCTTACCTCCCTTCTTACTGTCTCTCCTCTTTGGAACTTTCCACACTGCATGGAACATTTTCCTCTAAGATGGACTTGTGACGGAAAGTGCCTTGGTCACTCAGGGCAGATATTTCAGACTGGCCACATGTCCCCCACAGCCATGCTTTGCTGAGCCAGCTTGGTGGTTTGTTTGTTTTCAGTTTTACCTTTGTTGCTAATATATCTAGATTTCTAGCTCCTCTTAAAAAAAAAAATCACAGGATCCATGGGGCGCCTGGGTGACTTAGCTGGTTAAGCCTCCAATTGCAGCTTGGGTCATGATCTCCTGGTTTGTGCATTCGAGCCCCACCTCGGGCTCTGTGCTGTCAGCACAGAGTCTGCTTTGGATCCTCTGCTGACAGATCAGAGTCTGCTTTTGGATCCCCCGCCCCCCGCCTCTGCCTCTCCCCGACTTGTGCTCTCTCCCTCTCTCAAAAATAAACAAACATTAAAAAAAAAAAAACAAAAAAAAACCACACACGATCCAGCTGCACTGGGACTGTGATCTTCACTTGGTGTGTGGGCCAGAAGCGCGAGCCATGTCCCGCCTAGTTCTCCAGGCCCCGAGGCCGCCTGCCCTGCTGCCTGCCCACCAGGCCCTCTGCCCGCCCAGCTCTCCATCCATAGTGCGACTCCTCTCTCTGCTTTGGCCCGAAAGTGCTGCCAGCTACTTTCTGCCTCAGGGCCATGGCATGTGTTGTTCCTTTTGCTTAGAATCTTCTGCCTCGGGGTGCCTGGGGGGCTTGGATGCTTAAGTGTCTGACTCTTGATTTCGGCTCAGGTCACGTTCTCACATTCGCTCTCACGTTGGTGGGATCCAGCCTCTGTAGCGCGAAGTCTGCTTGGCATTCTTTCTCTGCCCCTCCCCTGCTCGCACACACACACCCTCCTCTCTTTCCCTCTCCCTCTCTCTCCCTTTCTCTCTCCCTCCCTCTCCCTCTCTCTCCCTCCCTCTCCCTCTCTCTCTCTCCCTCCCTCTCCCCCTCTCTCTCTCCCTCCCTCTCCCCCTCTCTCAAGTAAATAAACTTTAAAAAAAAAAAAAAAAAAGGAACATTCTACCTCAGACCTTCATATCCCGCCCCCCCCTTCTCTTCACTCAGCCTTGGACTTGGCTCCTCGAAAAGGGTGTCCCTGTTGCCCAGACGCCATCGTATGACTCATCAGCACCAAAAACGGTCTTCAGTATTTATTTACGTCACTCCTTCCACAGCACACTGTGAACTTGAGGGTGGACACTCTGCCCTGTTCATGGCCGTGTCTCTAGGATCTAGAATATGCTGGGCCCCACATCAGCTCCTAACAGTGCACATTGGCCGACGGGTTGTCCTATTGGGCTCGAAGTCCTCACCCCCGACCTATGTCATGGCGTCTGCGCTCCCTGGGACGGCTCTGCGAGGCCTTTCAGGATGTGGACTCACGCTGACCTCTTTGGGCTTTCCTTCCCTCCTTCTGCTTTCCAGCTCATGACCCACACTGGGCTTTGACCTGCACCAGGCTTTTCGGCCGGGCCACGCCGTCTGCCCCCGGGACGGGTGCGCCCCTTCATGCCTCCAGAGCCTTACAGGTTCTGCTTTTTTGCCTCCCCCCGCCCCCACTTCCCCGTTAGTGCACGCTCAGGAATCCCCTCCTGTGAGAGCGTTCCCTCGTTACCGTGCGTGTGCTCCGTCCACACACACTGGCTGGATGGGATTGGGCTCCACACGTATGTCATTTCCTAGCCCGACAGCTATTGGATCAGTGTAATCGCCCACTTTCTGCACTCCCTCCTCCATGGGCTGTGAGCTCCTCAATGGTGGATACTGCTTTGATCTGTCTTGGCATCTCTGGTCCTTTACATTGTGCTTAGTCAGTGCCTGACGTCCCGTCTGATGACCACGCTCAGCAGTCTCAGCCTAGCAGGAGCCACCGGGTCAGCTGACTGCAACTGTCAGGATTACGGCAGTAGAGCCTGGTAGGCAGATCTGGGTCCGTGTGAAAAGCAGCACGCCTGCTCCCCAGTTTGCGGACTTTCTTTTCCCTACTGGGAAATTTAACTTCATGAGCTTGTTTTGGACGAGAGGGCAGAGGTCCTAAGCCTGTGACCTGCAGGAAGGGGACTGTCTGTCTCTCGTGCGTGTTCACACCTTGGCCGTCTTCCTGAGGATGGACTATGCAGACTTCCGTGACGCTACAGCAGACTTACCCTAGGTCACAAACGGTGGAAAGGAGGCCGCAGTAAGGTAAAAGGATGGCAGCCTCCTCTTTCGTCCTTTGGCCCAGTTGGTGGTAGAAGTAAACTCAGCCAGCGCGGGGTAGGAGGAAGGAGAGCCGCCACCTGAGGGACGCAATAGACGGCATTACTTGCTCTGAGGCGTCTCCATCACTGACGTCTCAGGCTCCACCCACTGGGCCTCCTCTGCTGATTCACGCTCCCTTGGGATCCAAGCCTCGCAGTAGCGACCCATGAGGGTGTGCTGGCCGAGAACCCATCACTCCCTCCCTTCTTGGCATCGGGATACACCCACGTGGAGGTGTTCCCTCTCCCAGATGAGTGAGTCGCTGAGGGCTCGTGCAGAAGAGTTCACGGCCTACCAACCCCTCGAGTCCGGGCCGGCATCTGCCCTTCATAGCTCTGTTGTGTAGACCCCTACCCACAAGGCCTGTCTCCTGTCACGGCGCTCAGTCTGAAATGCCTTGCTCGGATGTATTTTTGGCCTCTTTGTTATTTTCACATCCCAAGTCAGCAGGACGAGCTGATGCTTCTTTCTCCAGGGTCTGGTCTTCAACAGACTACAGATCCGCTGGTGACACAGGTCACCAGGGGCGTACCTTGTCCCACCGCGCTTCATGGATCCTGCGTCTATAGATTGAAGGTTTGTGGCAACCTGCAAGCAGACCTGCTGGCACTCTTTTTTCCAACAGCATTTGCTTGCTTCATGTCTCTATCACGTTTTGGTCATTTTCCTCAATATATTTTTTTTCCTTTTTAAAAAATTTTTTGATGTTTATGTATTTTTGAGAGAGAGAGACAGACAGAATACAAGTGGGGGAAGGACAGAGGGAGAGGGAGACACAGAATCTGAAGCAGGCTCCAGGCTCTGAGCTGTCAGCACAGAGTTCGATGCGGGGCTCGAACTCACCAACCGAGAGATCATGGCCTGAGCCAAAGGTCACGCTCAACTGACTGAGCCACACAGGCATCCCAAAAATATGACCATTTTTAAGAGTGCAGGGTGCTGGGAAGAATTATGGCAATGGTCAGGTAGGGAAGAGCTGGGGCCAGACTTCAGGCAGGCCTGAGGAGGTCATGTGTCAGCAGTAGCCTAAATGACGAGAAGGACCCCATCATCTACAGACTGCGGGAGGAGCCTGGGCACAGGAAGTGCTCGTTTCAGGGCCATGGCGGGTGCGTAGGATGTCCCAGGCCCTGCTGAGGAGTTTGGGCTTTGGTCTGAGCATCCCGACAAGACCTCGGAGGGCACTGCACAAGGAAAACGCAAGGTTGGCTCTGTTCACCCTGAATGCTGCGCTTGTGGGGCTGTAAGAAGCAGCGCAAAATGATTCTCTAGGGTTCAGGGGGTTATGGTTTTGTTTCGTTTTGTTTTGAATTCATTTATAGATAAACAAGTGTGCAGGGGAGGGGCAGGGTGAGTGAAAATCCCAAATAGGCTTCGTGCTCTGCATTGAGCCTGACGTGGGGCTTGATCCCGTGAACCGCAAGGTTGCATCCTGAGCTGAAACCCAAGGGCCTGGTGCTTAACCGACGGAGCCCCCAGCAGCCCCCTGTTTTTTCATGTTTTCTTAAAATCACATGAAGTCACTCCTGTGTGGTTGTGTCTGGTCCGCAGGTGGGGGAAGAGACTGATCATCGTCGCCTCCCAGGACATGCGCTACCGTGCCCTGATCGGCCTGGAGGGCGACCCCGACCTGAAGCTCCCTGATTTTTCCTACTGCATCTTGGAGCGCTTGGGCCGGTCCCGGTGGCAAGGGGAGCTCCAGCGCGACCTCCACAGCACCGCTTTCAAGTGAGGGGACAATGTGCTCACCAGGGCTCCCTGATGCATGCACCCTGCCCACTCCCTCCTTCCCCTCAGCCCCACCGGCACAGTGCTTTGCATGCAGGGGTGGGGGGGACCTCTGGAGTGACTCTGGAGTTCAGTACCCAAACCAGACATTTCGAGAGTGCAAGGTGGGGCACCCGCAGGGTGAACCCAGATGTCTAGGCCCCCTAGTTCCTGGCCTCTCCAGGACCGGACGCCTGTATGTGATGGTGTCCTCATGGGCCCTCATCACCGCCCACCCCAGCCATCGTCCCAGGCCCATTTCCCTGGGCCTCTGGCCGCCTCTCCCACCGGCTCTGCTGAGGGCCTCGGGTGTGCACCGAGGCTGAGGCACAGCTGCTGTTTGCAAGGCCGCTGTCTGCCATGACGGTTCCCGCAGAGCAGCCGGGTGGGTGGCTGTCTCTAGCGCTGGCGTTTCCGGGTGAGGGGACAGCGACCACCGAAGCACGACGACCCAGCCGCGCTCTTCCCTCTCCTCCAGGGTCGACGCTGGGAAGCTCCACTATCACCGGAAAATTCTGAACAAAAACGGGCTCATCACGATGCAGTCACATGTGATCCGGTTACCCACCGGAGCCCAGCAGCACTCCATTCTCCTCCTCCTGAACCGCTTCCATGTGGACAGGTAGGGCGCGTGCCCCAGTGCCTCGTGCTGCCTGCGCCAGGCCTTCAGGTCATGGGGCCGAGGCACGTCAGGACTGTACATAGAGTTTTATCCTTATGGGTTTATTCTCTAATTTTGTTTGTTTGTTTATTTTAACGTTTGTCATAGAGAAAGAGAGAGAGACACAGAGCGTGAGCAGGGGAGGAACAGAGAGAAAGGGAGACACAATCTGAAACAGGCTCCAGGCTCTGAGCTAGCTGTCAGCACAGAGCCTGACGTGGGGCTCGAACTCACAAACTGTGAGATCATGACCTGAGCCAAAGTCAGACACTCAACCGACTGAACCACCCAGGTGCCCCTGTTTTAATTTTATTTTAGAGAGAACAGAGCACGCGTATGCATGAGCAGGGGAGGAGCAGAAGGAGAGGGAGAGAATCTTGAGCAGGCTCCATGCTAAGTATGGAACCCAATGTAGGGCTCAATCCCATGGCCCAGGGACCATGGCCTGAGCCGAAATCAACCAACTGAGCCACCCAGGTGCCCATGAGTATAGCGCTTTTTTGCTTTTTTTTTTACTTTATTTATTTATTTTGAGAGAGAGCATGAGCACAAGTGGGAGAGAGGGGCAGGGGGGAGGGGAGAAAAAGAGAGAGAGAGAGAAAATCTTAAGCAAACTCCACACTCAGTGAGGAGCCTGATACGAGGCTTGACCTCACAAACCATGAGGTCATGACCAGAGCTGAAGTCAAGAGCCAGACACTTAACAAATTGAGCCACCCAGGCGCCCTGGACTGTAGCTTTTTGAAAAAAGATTTACTATTTTTGAGTATGAAAATCAGTCACTATGATTCAGAAGATTTGGAGATTATACTGAAAAGAAGGGAAAAAAAATTCCTATAACCCATCGCCCGGCAACAGGACTGTTAACATTTTGGTGAAATTTGGGGGGAGTATAAAAACAAAAATAAATCAGTCAAATTAGATTTGTTTGGCGATCAGAATTGAGATTGAATCGTATCCAGTTTAGAGCTGGCATTAAACTCTCCAGCACACAGCTCTCACAGTCAGCCTAGATGGTGAGGCGAGGAGGCTGTGCTGAGTGCTGTGCGTGACGCTGCCGCTTAGCTGTGATCCCGTTCAGCCCGCAGAGCGAGGGGGTGAGACAAGCACATTTCCTTCTGAGGACACAAGGGCTTCTGGGCGTGAGCCTCTGACCCCTCCCTGTTCCCTCTGGGGGTGACCGCCTGGCATGGGAATGGGGGAGGGCAGCGTCCCACCACGCTTTAGAGAGGCCTCAGCCTGCCCTCCAGCACCTCGCGCCCTCCTCTGTGGGACATCCGGAGACCAGGGTGGGGGAGGATCGAGCTGGGAAACGAGGCCCTCGGGTGAGTAAGCGGGAGCCCCGGGCTGTGGGGCCACCAGCCCTCGATAGTGGAGTCGGGTGGTGTCACGGAGGACTTGAGAGGCGGCGGGCAGGCCCTTCCCCCGGACCAGGGGCAGCGACTTCGATTCTCCCCTAGCCGAACGGCAGAGACCTTGCCCTTCACGCAGCAGCCAGGCACACCCTCCAAATGGGAGGTGGGTGAACACTCAGGGTTAAGGATGAGCTCTGAAGTTGACAATGTCCACTGCCTAGCACAGGCCTGGGCCCAGAGAAGGTGCTTGAGATATGTGTAGAGGCAGGCTGTTGACTCAGGATTTACAGGAGTAATGATGTCCCTGTATTGCTGTCAAAATTCCAAATTTGTCATCAAACCTATGTTTTGGAAATCCTACAGTAGAGGGAATCATGCTTTGACAGTTTGCGTTTTGTGTGTTTCGTCTTACTATGCACCGGTCAAATACGGTTTCACTAGACTCCTAACTGGTGAGGAGCCCGCGTCTATAAAGTTGTAGGTGGCCGCTGTGGGTGGAGGCGACAGCAGTGGACTAGGTCCAGATCTGTATTTCAGTCTGCCCCTTACTGGGGCAAAGGCGCCTGACTTCTGTGAGCCACAATTTCTCCTCCTATAGAATGACCAGGACACAGTGCTTGGTACTAGTTCCCATGCAGTAAGTGCCTTCCTTTATTCTTTCCCGTGTTGAGAGGCAGTCAGAGTGGAGAAGTGGGCGCAGACTCTGTATCCCATACATAAGCCCTCCCTGACCCCAGGCTGTGGGCAGGTAAAGTCAGGGTCACCTTCCCCAGCTGCACCCTGCCCCCAGCCTCCCCAGGCACATGTAGTCGGGAGCCCTCCACTCTCTTTCATAGCTCCCTTGGTGGCCGTTAGCTTGGAAACAGTCATTACAATTCTACCCGATAAAAACGTGGTGGAAGGTGAGCTTGGTCAGACCCCGTGGAGGCAGAGTGGGGAGGCCAGCCTTCAGAATCAGGCATCATGATGTCGCCACAGAGCACGGGATGTGGGCAAAGACCTAGGTTCATATCCTAAGTCTAAATTTTAGGAAACCTATTTCACTTCTGTATGATATCAAGCAATTTATATAGAAGTAAAGTCCTCAGGTCCTTCCTCAACTTTATGGTATTATAAAATGGAAGGCATTTTAAAGAGTCCTTACGGCTGCAGCCCAAGAGTCTAGTCTGTACACTGCCACTACCTAGGTGCCCTTGGCCACATTACCGAGCCACTCAGAACCGGCCTCTACCCCACCAGGCGTGCAGCGTGGGCTGGATGGAGGCTGAGAGCAGAGACGAAGGCTCTGTAGTTTGGGATGGGGTCATTGAAGGCTTGCTGGGTACTCCTTAGCGCTGGGTTTGACCAGACTTGCTATCTGTGTTTCTCACAGGAGGAGCAAGTACGACATCCTCATGGAGAAGCTCTCGGGTGTGCTGAGCACGCGGAGCAACCAGATGGAGACCTTGGGCAGGCTGAGGGAAGAACTGGTGAGTGCCCAAGGCCACCCGTGCTCTGGGCCGGACCGATCTGTGCCACAGCCCAGACCTCTTCATTCCCTGTACCCTAATAGTGGCTCGCCATCAGCCCTGTTCACAGACTTGACCATCCCTAACCTTGAAGCACGTGGGATCTTCCTTTGTTTCACAGAATGAAAGTGCTCAGTCCTTCATTAAAGAACTTCCTGCCCTTGGCCGGCTCCCATTTTCCCCAGGGTTCGCTCGAGCAGCAAACGTGGGATGGGGGACCCGGGCACTTAGGGATACTTCCGTAAGCACGCTTCTAATCCCATCCCACTGGTTTGATACTGAAAGGACAGTGTGACAGTGTAGAGAAGCAGGCGAGATGGCACAGGGAGAGAAGCGCTTACCCACCGGCCTGTCCTGTGGGCCCCACAGTAGAGGTGGAGGGAGGAGGGAAGCAGGAGGCGGCCTGTGGCCTCCAAGCTCATTAGAACAGTGTTTAGGGGAGCCAGCACCAGCGAGGGGAGAGAGACAGATCGCCCTGTCCGTTAGACAGCAGAACTTAAAACCTGAAGCTTAAAGTCAACCTGTTTGACTTTAAGTCAGATTCCAAGTCATGATTCATGGGATTGAGCCCCATGTTGGGCTTCATGCTGAGCTTGGAGTCTGCTTGGGATTCTCTCTCCCTCTCTATCTGCCCCTCCCCCCCAAAATAAATAAATGTTCAAAAAAAATAAACAAAACACCAGGATAATCCTTGCTCCTCACCTCCTGCTTCATTGGTGAGTGGAGCCCTCTTCTCTGATGCTAGATCTACTCTATGCCCGGGCCTCTCATTTATTTGTTCATCTATTTACTTTATTTATTTTTAGTGTTTATTTATTTTTGACAGAGACAGAGTGTGAACAGGGGAAGGGCGGAGAGAGAGGGAGACACAGAACCTGAAGCAGGCTCCAGGCTCTGAGCTGTCAGCCCAGAGCCCAATACAGGGCTTGAACTCACGAACTGTGAGGTCATGACCTGAGCCAAAGTCAGATGCTTCGCCTGAGCCACCCAGGCGCCCCTATTTATTTAGAGCTAGAGAGAGCGCTCGAGCAAGGAAGGGCAGAGGGAGAGAGAATGTTAAGCAGATTCCACGGCTGACACAGGGCTCCATCTCCTACTCCCAACTGAGATCCTGACCTGAGCGGAAATCCAGACTCAGACACTTAGCCGACCAAGCCATGCAGGCACCCTGTGCCCAAGTCTCTTTGAAGCAGAGCTTAGGAACTGAGGCTTGTGGGTCAGATTTGTCCTATATGTTGTTAAGAGTACATTTAAGCTAGCATTTTTTTTTAATTGAGATCTCACATACAAAGCTATGTTTCCAGCTTCCTTTGACATATCCGAGGCTCTGTCAAGCCTGGGCCTGCAGCTTCTCCTGGCAGCAGTCAGCTCGAGCTGGCCCGCTCCCCCCCAGGCCCCTTCCTTCCTGCCACCTCTCAGCCACCAGGCCCTTGTCAGTTGTCGGTGTCTGAGTCTCCTTGAAAAGTGGAAAATGAAAGAAAAATAAATCTCTCTCTTGAGAGATCTTGTTAGAAATGAAGAGAATTCCTACTGAATAAACAAATATCAGCCACTTCGTTCCTTATATCTCTTGTCCAGCAGACTCTGGGGGTTGAAGTCCTCTGCCCTGCCAGGTCACCCAGGTGGGCGGAGGCCAGCGAGCCTGGTCTCAGGCCAGCCCTGTGGACTGTCTCGGTGAGGAGGGTGGGCTGTTAGGGGACACTGTTCTTTTCTTCATCCAGCAAGGACTTCAGTGAGTGTCTGCTTTGAGGCAGGACTGTGTTCTCCGCCACAATGACTAAAATTAGTGAGGATGACAGGTCTCACGCTGTCACGGAGCAGTCTCCCTGGAGAGGCAGATGCGTGAACGCACGCTGAGGCTCGAAGGCTCCTCGGAAGGACGCGCTTTCTTCTGAGAGCGGGAGCACCTATACAGAGCACGTGACAGTTGAGCTGGGCCGTGAGGATGAAGTGTCCCCAAAGCAGACAGACAAGAAATGGCATTTCAGGCGCAGGAGAGTGGCTGCAGCACGATGTTAGAGGCGCAGTAACGGAGCGCTCGCCAGGTGGCAGTGTGCTCAGGCGGGAGTAGCAGAGAAGTGGCCTGAGAGATGGAGAGATAAGAAAGGTGGCCCTTCAACCTCGTAAACTGCTGCTGGCAATTCGTAGATGGAGAAGTGACAAGGAGGGGAGAGTGTTCAGGAAGTGATCCTGTAAGAGGAAGAGAGATCAGAGGTGTGGGTGACAAGGTGGTGACGTTGACCCTGGCCGGGGTGATGACCGCTGGGACTGGAGATGTTTTGGAGAAGAGCTAGCAGGGCGCAGTGAGTGCCTGAGGCCAGGATGTGGAGGTGAGTGACGGAGAGGGAGCCTTGGTGTCTGGCTTGAGTAATTGCTCCTGGTTGAAGTGGGTGGGGCTCGAGGGCAGGCTCCTGAGAGCAGAGACCTTGCCTGCTTGTTCACTGCTGGAGCCCCACCCCGGAGAGGCGTCTGGTCCACGGCAGGCACTCAGGAAGTATTTGTGGAATGCATGTCTGAATAAAGTTGGGAATACGGAAAGACATGCATGAGGACAAGGCACGTGATGAATTTGATTTTAGGATTTATCAAGTATGATGGTCTTCTGGGACTCTCGCTTAGTGATGTATCCATGGCAGCTGGAAGTGGGGTCCAAGGATGCTGAGCAAGATTTAATGAATCGTTAGCCAATAGTGAGGTCGAGGCCGTGTATATGCATGCTGTCTTTTGGGGTGGGGCGGTGCACGCTGCTTCTTTCCCTTGTTGCTCGGCAGACTGAGCAGGTCCCTGATGGCAGCCCTCCCCCCGAGGGCAGGACTGCGTCATCTCCTCCCGTGCGTGGGATCGTCCAGGACTCAGGACCATATGTTAGGGGCTGGGATTTGATGGATGAGCTTCCATGGGGTCTTTCTATGATGCCAGGCGCACGGCCAGATGAACGAGAGATCCCGTTTCCAAGCCAGTGGGTTCTGCGGAGTCATCTGTGATGCCTCCATAACCGTATGTCCTCCCGCCTGCGGCCTGGGGCCCTGGCTGCTCAGAGACTTGGTCACACAGGGGGCGGCGGCGGTGGCCTGCAGACATTTTGCTCCCTGTCTCTCCCCCAGAGAGTAAAAGGAAAGCTGTAAGTCTCCATGAGTGGCCCTTAGTGGAAAGTGCCTCCCGTCACTCAGTCCACGGTCCACAGCAGCTGACACCGGCCCACGCCTCCAGGGCTGGCGAAGTGCAGTGCTCGCAGCAGCCGGGATGGAAATATGCACGGGTGGAATGGGCAGAGTGTAAAACATGTTCTTGCACTCGGTGTGGATCCAGTGTGTCACCCTCCTGTTCGCTCCCGCAAGACCGGACAGCATGTAACCAGGGACCTTCCCCCCCCAGTGTGCCAGAGGCTGGCGGGGCCTCCCTGCATGGGCCTGCGCATTCCAGCTCCCGCTGGCTGCTGCTCCCGGGACCCCCCTCCAGGATTTGTTGCTGGACGTTTTCTAGGAGAAGCTAGAACCTGCTTTATACATGTATATGTTTATATTTATATATGAAATCTCTCACTTTCCATTGTTGACACGTAAGTCACTTATTTTCAAAAACATGCAGATGGAAAAACATGGCCTGCACTGGAGGCTGCCCAGGGGTAACCCGTGCAGCTGGGGGCACGTAGGGTCATTTTGGTCACATCGCCTCGTGGAGCTGTGAGTGGTGGGGTGCGTACTTGTCCTCACATTGTGCAAACTTCACTGATGGACTAAAATTTTTTTTTTCACTGAATCTTTTTTTTCTATTTGTCCCATTGCCTGTGGGAGGAGAGAGAGAGCGTGTGTGTGTGTGTTAATGATACACTTCCTTGGTTAGAAAACCACAGCACTGAAAAGTATACCGTGAGAAGCCTCCTCCTGGCCCTGCTCCCATCCGCCTCACTCCCGCCCCTGTGTATCCATTTAGAAAATCATCTACACCTTGTTTTGTTCCCTTGACAGCATAGCTGGGAATCGTTTCCTCTTTAGCCCCTCCGGTGTCTCCTCGCTCACGATAATCGGATAACTCAGGTCCCGAGCCTTGTTCGTTCTTGTGACTTCAGTGGGTACAGACGCCTTGCTTGCATCTGACAGCAGCTCTCAACTTGTGTTCCGGCAGGGGCTGTGTGAAAGGACGTTCAAGCGGCTGTACCAGTACATGCTGAACGCCGGCCTCGCGAAGGTGGTGTCTGTCCCCTTGCAAGAGATTCACCCTGAGTGTGGACCTTGTAAGACCAAGAAAGGTAAAAGCAGTCGCAGCCTCTGTTCCCTTGGCTGCGCAGACGGCTTTCTCTCCTCCCTACCAAGCCCCGGCCTTTTTGTGTCGCTTCGTTCGGCCTCGTGGTGGGATGACTTCACATATTTGTTCAAGTCTTCATTGCTCAGTGGCCGACTTAGGATCTTCTGTAGCGAACGTGCTCAGGAAGTGTTGGCTGGATGAAAGCGATCCTAAGCGCCAGCATACATCTCTCTGTCCGTGTCCCTCCGACATCTCTGCTCCATGATGTCCAAAACCAAGTTCATCCTCTCCTTCCTACGCTCAGCCACTGTTCATTCCAGCATTTTGAAAGCTCCTCAGCCGTGTTGCATGATTTCATCCTGTAGCCCTTGTGAGGTAGATTGGGGGGGGGGGGTGTCAACTTTTAGGTGTAAGAGAATTAAACCTAAGAGATACTAAGTAACTTACAAAAGGTTGAGCAATCAGTAAGTGATGGATGTGGGATTTGAACCAAGAAAGTTAAACTAAGGACAAGAAAACACAAAACTTTATTTTTTTTAATTTTTTTTTTTTACATTTATTTCTGAGAGAAAGAGTAAGACAGTACGTGAGGGAGGGAGGGGCAGAGAGAGAGGGAGACACAGAATCTGAAGCAGGCTCCAGGCTCTGAGCTAGCTGCCAGCACAGAGCCCGATGTGGGGCTCGAACCCACGAACTGTGAGATCATGACCTGAGCCAAAGTCAGACGGTTAACTGACTGAGCCACCCAGGAGCCCCAAGACCATAAAACTTTAAAAACCTTCCTTAGTCCTCTATTTTTCTCTATCCTGGATTGTTATGCCATGCTGTTCCTGACCAGCCGAAGTCACTTAAAAAGCTGAGGGTCAGAGCTTTTAGTGAAAGATGATAGGTGGAGTGTATGTGCTGATCCGCACTCTCCCTGAACTCCTCCGTAGTGACGACAGGGACATAACAGGAATAAACCAGCAGGTGCCGACAGGCTAGGGCAGGAAGGATGGCAGAGCGCCGTCAGCAGCACTCTGTGCTCCAGGCAGATGGATAAGCGCTAACGGACCAAGTGGCCTGGGGAAGTGCATGCCAGTGAAGGGCAGTGGCCAAGGATCAAAGCCTCCAAACCTGAAACAAACGAAAAATGTGGACATCCCAGGTACCCCTGAGCACAAGTTTGGAAGGCGCCAGAGATGAAAGGGTTGGTTGGCAGTGTGTGCGAGAAGCCGCCGCTCCGCCGGGGCCTCTCCCTTACTCTGGGCGGCCAGGTTAGGAGCCCTTTCCCACACACGTCTGGGCTTATCTCAGGGTTAGATGCATCAGAGCAGCTCTGGGCTCACAGACCCAGCCGGGGGAAAGGGGCCGTGCTGACAGCGGGACACTGAAAGGTGGGGGGCCTCTCACTGCGGTTCCCAGTTTGGCCGCCGAACATTGGCAGCCAGACTCGCCGTCCCCCGGGCCAGAGGCCGGCAGCTGCTTTTCTGCAGAAACTGATCCATCCAGGAAGTCTTCCAAATAGTAAAATGTTGGGGTATCCCCACAACACAGCCGGCCCCTCCCTGCCCCCTCACTGGTCGTGGAAACCCACACCAGGGCAGCCTCTCCCCTGCTCCCCCTCACCCTGCACGACATCTAGAACACAGGCTCCGGGCAGCGACCAAATGCCTCCCTGAGCATCCAAGAACCCTAATAGGAATGCGAGAGAAACAAACGTAGGAACTAAAAACAAAGTGAGGAGCAGAGGAAAGCCCAGAAGAACTTGCCGAGAGGAGGCCTTGCATCCATGAAATGCAGCGAGAAGTTGTAAAGGAGGGACAGGTGGAAAATAAAAAAGAGCTCTTAGAAACAGAAGAAATATGCTTATCACAAGTTAGTGGGAGGGAAGGTAATGAGATAAAGTTGAGAAGGATCTCAGAAAGAAACTCAAAAGGGGTGGGAAGTAGAGCTACGTTGAAAATCAGATGCTAAGCCTCGAAGGTCCGACATCCGCACAGTGAACTCAGAGTGGGGGAAACAGAATGTGGGCAGGGGAGGGGGGAGAGGATGAGAAAGGACACGGGATTTTCCTGATCTGCAATGCGGGAGTTCTAGAACAAGAGACCCATCGGGTGCCTGGCGTGAAGAACATGCAGAAACCCACCCCGACAGCCACCATCCAGGAACTTCAGAAATCCAGAGCCAAAGAGCCTCCAGGGAGGAGACAGCAGCCTCCCCAGCAGTAACGGAAGCTGGGCGGCCTGGGAGCGGTGCTCTCATTCTGAAGGGAGCGGGCTTCCCATCTGGAGTTCCTTTACTCAGCTTTTGCGTTGATGCACTGTGAAAATCCGGAATCTGAAACGGTTCGCCTCCCAGATTCCCTTTCAGGAAGCTGCAGGAGGATGCCCACCCCCCAACAGCAGACCAAAATGAGAGGCAGGGCAAATGGGGTCCAGGGAGGGAGGAGACCAGGAAAGACACGGGGAGATGGTGACGGGAAGTCACCACGACCGGCGCAAGGGCGGCACATGCACACGGGAGCAGGGGCGGGGGCTCCGCAGGGACGGAGGGCCATGCGAAGGATCAGCTGCCCAGGGGTGTGACTGTCTTTAGAGAAGGTCGTACGTGGGTAGAGAGTCTGTGTGTGAATCCGTGACATTCTTTAATGTTTATTTTGAGAGAGAGCGTGCACGTGTGGACGGGGACACACACACACACACACACGGGGGAGGGGCAGAGAGGGAGAGAGAGAATTCCATACAGGCTCCTAGCTATCAGCACAGAGCCCAACATGGGGCTCCATCTCACAAACTGTGAGATCATGACCTGAGCTGAAATCAGGAGCCTGACGCTTAACTGACTGAGCCACTCAGGTGCGCTCCCCTCCCCTGTTTAATTTGAGAGAGAGACTGCATGTGAGTCGGAAGGAAAGGGGTAAAGGGAGAATGAATCTTAAGCAGGCTCCAGGCTCAGCAGGGAGCCCGGTTCAGGACTCAATCCCATGACCCTGGGATCACACCCTGAGCCTAAATCAAGAGTCAGATGCTCAACTGACTAAGCCACCCAGGTGCCCCAGGAGAAATCTTTTTTTTTTTTTTTAATTTATTTTGATTTTGAAAAAGAGCATGAGCAGGGGAGGGGCAGAGAGAGAGGGAGGGGCAGAGAGAGAGGGAGGGACAGAATCTGGAGCAGGCTCATTGCTTCATTGCCATGAGCGCAGAGCCCGATGTGGGCCTCGAACTCATGAAGCATGAGATCATGACCTGAGCCAAAGTCAAGAGTCAGACACTCAAACAACTGAGCCACCCAGGTGCCCCCAAGGGAAAGAATCTCAAGCAGGCTCTATGCTCAGCATGGAACCCAACTCAGGACTCGATCCCACGACCCTGAGATCATGATCTGAGCCAAAATCAAGACTCAGACACTCAACGACTCAGCCACCTAGGCGCCCTTAGTCATTTTTCTTTCTGATCTATTGCAAAGAAGACGTTAAAAATAAACAGACTGGACTGATTATATTTTTAAAGTAAAGAGAAACTAAGAAGGAAATGCCCTGAAATAACCTCTCTTGCTGGGCAGGCAGCCACAGAGCAAAGCTTCTCCCAGGCTTGAGGTCCCTGGAAATGCAAGCCAGCCACTTGCAAGTAAGACATCTGAGTAAACTTTGCTATGAGACAGCCCTGGGTCAGAATTCTTGTTTTGTTACTTCCTGTTGGGGTGACTCTCAGCAAGTTTTGGCCTTTCTGTGGTCCGTTTCCTCAGCACCACTTTCTGGGGATAATAATACAATTTTCCAGAGTGTCACGGGGCTGACGGAAGACCGTGCTCACAGAGCAGGGGCCACAGAATGGTAATGGCCACGTGTGGCAATGTTTTTTGCTTGGCTCACGGCATCTATTCTCATTGGATAGGTTGCTGGGCATTTAAAAATCAGAAATTGCACCTAAATAGGCTTTCAACTTCCCTGCAAAACTGAAATTAGGTGACATTAAACTGCATTTCTTTCATAGCAAACGGTCAGGCCCCATTCCCCAAGGACACCCTGCTTCCTGCTATGTAGCCGGTGGCCAGCCTTACTCTGGTATGTCATCAACGTGACCCTTGAAGGTGTGTCTGTGTCACAATGTGTGTTGTCTGGGTTTCCCTGAAGCCTAGTGCCGGGACCAGAAGCCCCCAAGGCTGGGCACTGATAGTGATGACGCTCCAGTTCCTGCGCGGTTACATGGCCGGACACCTGAGGCAGTGACCGCTGCAAGCTTTAGATCGTCACCCACAAGCACAGTGAGCCCAATCTGACCATCCGGGGGCTCACTTCTTTCCGTGGTGGGCTTGTCATCACCTGCTGCTGCTCAGATCCTCAACTGGGCCCCCCTGAGTCCCTGTGTCACCCTGTGGCTTAGTTGTTTCTCTTTGTGACTTCCAAGCTAGATAGTGAGCTCCTTTGAGAGCAACGGCTACAGTCCTCACTCAACGTGCTGTCTGTCCTTGAGGCCTGTGCAAGGTCTGCTTGGAACAGAGTAGGCGCTAAGCAAATGCTTAGCAAACCTAATTGAATTAGGTGCCACTTCAGCTCCTCTTCTTGGGCAGGAGACCAGGGATGAAGGCGCAGCTTTAGTCTTTTTTGCCTTGTGCGTAATGATCCCACTTTGCAGAATTAATATAAGCCTTTCCTCTAGGGCCTTAGGGAGCAGACAAGACTTAATAAACAAAGATGATGGATTACTTCATGTAAATTTGCAGGTGTGCCTGGATATATACGAGTTGTTTCTAAAAGCTGTAAATAGTTTAGATTTCAGCATCTTTCAAATGCATTGCAATAAGCTATAGTGATCTGCTTTGTAGAAAGGCAGGGTGGTGGGGAAGCCTGGGTAATGAAAACAGTCACCCTGACCTGATCGGTTTTGCACATTTAGATTATATTCTTCACAAGTTTACTAGCCATACTGTATCTATTCAGTTGGGCTGAGAACAGAAGGGAAGAGAAACAGAACTTTGCGATCCTTCAGAAAATGATGACGACTGGAAGCAGTTGACAGAGTC